GTGAAAATATTTAGTGTGAAATAAAAACATAGCCTTTAAACGCCATTGATTGAGAAGATATGCAAGCTACCGGCGGCTGGCTACTGACCGCCGTTCCTTGCACACAAAGAGAATCCTCAACGCTATTATGCGTCGACTTTACTGTTAGTAAGGACTATGATAGAAATAGGATCGTAATGTGACGAAACAGTTCGATAACCGTAGCGAATGAAGCCGGTCAACGTAGACGTTTCACATTAAAAACTATGACCATAAGGCTGCCTTTCCACAAGAGAAGTGCGAGGTAGCGAGGCGGTGCGAAGATGTGTAGCGGCGCTGTGGAACGGTGGGATGTTTTCCACCAAAGCTGAGCGAGGTATCTAGGCGGTGAGAGGATGTGCAGGGGCGCGGTGCGAGGCTGCTTTACGGATTCTTTTCAGCTATTCGAGGGCGGGGTACGGTGTGGTGGGGTGAGCGGTGGCGATGTGTCAGTGTCAGTTAGTGTCATACTTTCAGTAGCTCTAGTTTCCTGCACCGTTTTGCATACATTCCTCGCCCACATCCCTCGCACACATTCCTCGTACACATCTCTCGCTATTTTGTATTTACAAATACTTAGCTCCGCTGACCTTTTTCCACCGGAGCTGCGCTAGCGAGGCTAGGAAAATGAAGTAATCCTGTTGGTGGATTTTTTTCTCGCACACCGCGTCGCTACGTCGCACATCTCTGGTGGATAGGCAGTCTAACATCCCGATTTCAGCATCCTTCCATTATTAAATTTAAATAAATGTTCTTGCGTCCGTTCTACAACGGCTCTTAGGAAGTGGATGTAAAAAAGATTGTCTTTTATACATCTGTTTTTTAATTTTGTGTAGTAATAATATTTTCAACGGCCTCACAAGACGTAAGATTCCCAATCACAGCGTTTTTCTTTTTAGAAATATGTAACTGGTAAATGTAAGTATCGTGTCGTCAGAATTGTTGTAAAGACCTCTAGCGGAAGTTTTGCAGGCATAGGGTGGTGATCAATTTTCAAGTGAACTCAACAGCTTTTAAGTCTGTTTAGAGCACAAGTTCGATCGTATGTGGAGTACTGCTGCCACCTTTCGGACGACTCTGCCCATTACCAGTTAGCTGGACTCGTTGGAGCGAAAAGTAAAGAGTCTTATTAACAACAATTCCTTTTGAAGTCGAAGTTACAAAATCTCGACCATCGCAAAAAAGTAGCCTGCTTGTCGGTTTTCTATCGGATACATTTCGGGGAGTGTACGCAAGAACTTTTCAATTTACTTCCACCCTCACCGTTCCTCCTTCGGTCGACTATAAGGTCCGGAACCCTCCATCCTTATAGCGTTGATATACCACCTATTCGCACTAAGCACTTTGCTTCCTCCTTTCTGATGCGTACGGTAAAGGAATGAAATACTCTACATTATCTACGTTTCTCAGAAAGTACAATTTGGGGCTATTCAAAGTTAGAGTAAATAGGCATTTGTTAGGCAAACGTGTCCCATCGTCGGTCACATCGTCGCTTAACATCAGGTGTGATTGTGGCCAAGCGTGTGTCTCTTATATTATATACAAAAAAAATTAAGTGCCAAATGTCTTATCTATCCATTTCAATTGTCAATGAAATGTTTTATTTTATCGTTTCACATAACAATTGACTAATTTCGTAAGCACTTTTTTCTATTATCTTGCTTTTGAATATCGTCAAAAAACCTTGTTGAAATTATCACGTGTACAGCGCGACATAGCTGTTACCTCAGGAACCGACTCAGTTAAACGGTACGCCTTTAATTTGTTTCATGTACTTTCTATTATTTTTACAACGTTTATGTGATAAAAGCACTTTTGACATAATGATCAGATGTGCCTACCGGCCATCATATATTATACCAAGACTACGAATTATATTTATATATAAAAAAGGAGAGTTTTATTAGAGCTCGTCGAGATGAAAGAGTTCGTCCAGGGAAGTATTGCTACCTTGCCTATTTCTGCCGCCAAGCATCATTGCTGCGTTGTTGCTTTAAAGTAAAAGTATTCGTTCGGAATCCGAGACTAAACAAATGTCGAAAACTCGGACCCATTTCGGATGTCGCTTGTGCACTAAGTACGAATCCAAGAAAATACGAATATCGCTTGTACACCTAGAGATAAAATTATCCCTGTGATATTTCGGACCGTCACTTTTCCGATTCGGAACTGATGCGAATCGGACGTAGTGCACAAACGCTCTTAAGGTGCTGGTGACAGTGACAAAATAATTGTTTGAGATATCATACGAAACCATAACCCAGTTTTAGAATATTGAAATTGTTTAATGATATTTCAGCTATGCATCGTTAGAGAAGGTTCTAATAAGTTGAACACGTTGTCTAATTTGTAAATAAACAAAACAAAATGTAAAAAAACAGTTAGTTTTTAAAAGAGAACTTTGTGCTGTCTTTTGCTTTTTAAAACGGATATTTGACCATTTATCACTTAGCCGCGCTTAAGTTAGTGGACGGTAGAAATTACAGGCGAGCTGTCGTGGGAGAGGGCTCTCGAAGAGCTATCCAACGGTTTATATAAAGAGATAAGAGAGAGGAGGGTGCGACGCAAAAAATTTGGAAAAATATAAAAAATCGATTTCGTAGTACGACAATCCGAAAGGCGATCGCGAGCATGCCATCCTCGGATCAAAGACAACAATGAATTATAATTTCTGAATAGGAAAAAGCCATCAATATCTCGTAGATTTTTTATTTAATAATTTTAAACTGTTAATATTAAAAAAAACTGTCTGTTTGGGGGGGTGGGGGTTGAAATTTTGTTGCCGGACAAATACAAGTCAATGAAGCTAATAAAACTAATAAAACAATGAAAATTAAATTAATGTATATACTTAAACGTGTTAGGGGTCAAAAAGATTCAACTTGGCAACTTGACGACTTATCAACTTACGTCTTAGGGTGACAGGCGCAGTGGGCAGTACCCCTCAGATCTTTGCGATTTAAAACTCTGAGTGGTACTGCAACGCACACCAGGCACACGACTTGTTCAACCCGTCACTTGATATTATATATAAAAAAAGGAAGATGGACGATGATTAATAAAGGATATTCGCAAACGAAAGCTCTGTATCGTACATGTATGAAATATCGTACCTTTCACTCAATTAGGATAAAAATGTCAGATATAGCAGTAAGGGAGAAGAGGTGCAATGTGTGTAAAGCACTTACGGAGACCAAGGCAATATAGGCTACTCCCACAAAACAATTTTTTTAACGATTCTTTACAAAGCTCAACTTTCAAAAGAACTAAGCCCCCACAACACCCTTGACAATAAAGATGGCATATTATTAGGGGTGTATTCAGGGTGCGATGAAATATTAATTCCTCCCTGAGATAACTATTAGGCCGGATTAAGGGATTATTGTTTTAACCGAATTAGCTTACGACGTGAGGTACCCGACCTCCGAGGTGGCAAAGATTATGAAGCTGGAAGAATGTAGAAGAGACACGCGGAACTTTAGATTTAGTAGACACCAATCATTGACGATTATCTTTATTATATCGCCCTCTGATTGCCTCCAAATTGATTAGACTGTTCATTCATCGACCATGCCTACAAAATCAGGATCATTATTATTATATTCTTGACGACTTTCGTGGTCGTGTGACCTGTAACCATTTTCATGGTGTCGCCATCTCAGAGGTCCCAGGTTCGATCCCCAAACGGGTCAATATAGCACCAAATCTTCTATATTGCCTCTAGTCTGGGTGTTAGTGGTGTCGTCATAGTTTCCGATTTCCATAACACAAGTGCTTTAGTTACTTACTTTGGGATCAGAGCAGCTAAAGTGATGTTGTTTATTTATTTATTCTTCCGTGATAATAATTTTTGTTTTTAATTTCTAAAAATTAATTACTTACCTAGTCATGTAAATATATTTTTTCAGGGTATGTACTGATAAAAAAGGTATACCTGTTTTTATAATATTCTTTTTTTTAAAACCTACAAAAGCTTAAAATAAATATAATTTCGCGTCTGCGCGCTCATAATCACCAGAAGATTTCATAGCACTCCCGTCAGAAGGCTTATTAAAAGTAAATTGCGAAAATTGCACAGCAAATGTGGCCCTCTTAGCTTGTTTGGCTAACCAGCTTACCACCTCCACTTTACTGCGCCCTATAGCTCTTCTACGTTTCCGTACAATCTAAGCTCATTTTGGGCTAGTCGCATTAGATAGGACCAGAAATGAAAGGCCTTTCAAAGCATAGAAATTATACGCCATGATAGGTCATTATGGTTTTGTTGTATTGACACCCCTTATGGTATGCTGGTTAGGAGGGTCAATTTGCGATGAGCTTCCGTAGCGTAGTAGTATTAAGGTTTCAGAGTTCAAGTGATACTGGTTAGATACAAGTACCCATGATCTGTAATGTTTGGGGTGGCAATGATGGGGTATTTGCGTGTAGTGGTGTTGACAGCGGATTATGGTCGTAATGTGTTACGAGTAATGGTTTGGGGGTTATGACAAGTGGCTTAAAAGTAATTGTGATTTATAGGTGGTTATGCTGGACATTCCACATGTGACACTCCATATATGCAGCCGTAGGTTAAGGTATATTCTGTCACTTTGTGAACTCCAGTTTTGAACGCTATATACTTTTTTTATAACATCAAGTGACGGGACGAACAAGTCGTGCGCCTGATGGTAAGCTACAAGCCTGTCCATAACAGGTGCAATGCCAGTCAGAGCTTTAAATCGCAAAGATCTGAGGGGCACTGCCACTGCGCCCGACACCCTGAGACATAAGTTGACAAGTCCCATGTGCCTGTAATTTCACCATACCCTTCAAAACCGGAATGCAGTAATGTTTACATTTCTGCTTGAATGCAGAAATAGGTAAGGTGGCAGTACTTCCCTGGGCGAAATCTTTCACAAGGAGATCTACTGCTACTTACATGATGTTAAGTACTATTTTCAAGAAACATTCTATTTACCAAACCACCATCCGTGTCTCATCAGGTGTGGTTCCAAAACCGGCGAGCGAAATGGCGTAAAGCAGAGAGGTTAAAAGAGGAACAGAGGAAGAGGGAGGGCGCTGAAGTCCTTACGAAGAGGGACCCCAGTGATGACAAGGTCGGTAAATATTGTGAACCAATGAGTCGTCGTCTGATCTTAAAATTGAAAACGGAAAGGTTCCTACAGAGCTTTGTGTCACAGAAATATATCAAAATTTGTTACCCCATTTTAAATAACTTCATGAATTGAATTGAACTTTATTATTTTCTCCTTTTCAGTAAATTTATATTGTTAACTAATTTTGCAGAATTGTTGAAACATATTAGGAAAACTTTCTTAACATTTTTGAAGTTTCTTCAACTTTCAACCTGTGCAGCAACCTCTATTGAGAACATCCTTAAAAGTCTGTCTATATTCCAGGGCTCATCAGAATGCGGAATGTCGCGGGGCTCAGGAGAGGGGTCTCCCGTCTCAGCGACGTCCCCTCGCGCTTCCCCGCCCGTCACCCCCGGCTCGCCACGCCGTTCGCCGCTCCGTTCGCCTAGTCGCCGTTCACCTAATCGGTCTCCAAGGTTGGAAAGGTTTGTTGTATGATGTTTTTTAGTATTGTTCAAGAAAAAGCCTACAACTGACTGTGTAGCAGGTATTTGTCTCCAACTCCAGTTTTACAATATGGCAGCGGCGCCAGTTGCAGGCATTGTTCGGAAACATGAGATGGTATGGTAGACAGTAATAAGTACCTAGTTATGAATACGCTAATTTATTTAGGCTTGCCAAAAACAGAAAACAATATTATTTCCTAAAGTCCAAATTTGAATGACAGCACAAGATAAAGAGTGAATGTGGATGGAGGTGTAGGGAGAGTAGACCTAGACGTACATATCTTGATCAGATTGGGGATGTCCTTAAAAAGACTCGGTTAAAACCACCAAGTATAAACCAGCACGTATGAAGAGACTGATCCGGTATAGAAAGCGAAAGGGGTTTGTCAAAAGCGAACCCTGGTGGGACCAAAACATACTACATAATCTTATGTCCTATTTTCATATTTAGTCCGACTAAACAATTAATAGACTTTAGAATGAAGGTCATCTTTCACACGTAAACGTGAATTTCACAATGATGAATTCGTTGATATCTTTTGTTCTTTTTAAAAGACGTTTGTTGTTATCAAAACGATTATCATCATAGATTTACATATCTGGGTATTTTACATATCACATTGTTTATAACCTATAATTAGGGAAATTTTCAGTAAACCACCAGCCTTAAAACTTGACGCTCCATTTTATGATGGTTTTCGAGTCTTACAGGTATATAACTACAGATGTACGTAAGAGGCCTTCAAGTACATATTTTGAAATTTAAGGTGTTTTTACAAAAATTGCTGTTGAGTGCTAAAAATGACCCTGCGGTGAAAGACAATAGTCATATCTTCGTTTGTTTTTTATTTAAGATACTGTGTTTGATCTGAACATTGATTTTAAATGCCTAATTAAGGCTCTCATTCTCTTTAAAACATGTAGCCTAGCTTTATTAATCTTTACTAACAACGCATATAATTTTACGTGAATTTTAACAAAATGAAGGTGATTTGTGATTTATGGGCACGTCCTCTCGTTTCAAGAATTTTGATGGTATTGACAACGGATAGAAAGTAAGAATAGTGAAGGAAAGGGAACATTCGAGAATGATTCAAAAATAAGTGGCCAGGAACCAGAAAAAAGTATGATGAAAAGGTGGGATGACGATGATGGAGGTCAGCATCGTCACTAACGCTCTGTAGTAAAAATTACTATTTGACACTGAAGGTTCTTTACTTCTCACCTAGAAAAGCCGTGGTAACTTAATGATTTGATCTGCCGCCTCTCTGTCAAACGGAGGCTGTGGGCTCAAATCCAGACTCGCACCTCTTCATTTTTCGGCATTTATGTGCAAAATTTAATTTGAAATTTACCATCAGCTTTACCGCATTAGGCCAGCGCGAGGGTGGCGGACAATGGCCTAAACCCTCGCCTGAGAAGAGACCCGTGCCCAGTAAATGGGTTGATGATGATGTTCTTTATCTCTCGCCTACGGATATTAATACGTCTTAGTGACGTGCGATTGTCGAAGATACGCCAATGTAAAAGGAATGCAGCAAATGGTGCAAAGCACGACATTTTCCGTAGAGTACTAGTTAGTTACAGGCCGATGGGAATTGTGTTGTATGAACAGGCGTTTGTAGGTACATGTCTCATCGTTATTCTGGTGCTGTAGATCGGAGCCGAGTTGTACCTCGCCAGCGCCGTCTGTTGGCAGTGCCGGCTCCAGAGAGGCCCCCGTCGAACAACGGCCGCCTCATCATCTGTTCTCACCTTTCGACCAGTGAGTACCTTCATATTATTTACACCTGCAACGAAATTAAATTAATACTCTATGCAGCTGTGCTTATGTTTATTATATTTGATGTAATGTTTATATAATTATTTTAGTAGGACTATCTTTCGTCCTTTAGGGACTGGCTAAGGCGAGTAATTGACCATACTGCCAAATCTGATATCGTAATTTTTCTTCAATAGTTTAATATTCTGATATTTTTCGTATTTTATAAACGAATATTTTTTTCGCGAGTAATCTTTATATTATATGTTTAAGGTGGCCATTTTGAAAACCTTAACCGAGATTAAACCTTTACTAAAATTATTTTTTAACTGGAGTAACAAAGTAACCCCTTATAATGTCAGTTTGACAAACAATGTTGCCATTTTTATTGCATTTTTATTTTATGAAGTGCTTGGTTGGTTGGTTGGTGGAAGTAAAAACATAAAAATAAAGTTAGTTAAGTTCAATAAATGTTAAAGATTTAAGTATATAAAAATACCGTTTTGAAATCCCTACCACTAAACTAACTAACCATAAAATAATACACTTAGAGTCTAGGCACAAGGCGTATTTTATACGCGCCGACGACGACGTTGCAAGCAAGAATTATATACTCCACTGGAGTTTACACTTAGAATTTCATGTAGTTGCTTCATTTCAAAAACTAACTAAAATTAACAAACAAAACTAAAAATCAAAATGCGCACGACTACAGTGCGTCTGCGGTGCGTATAGTGCGTTGATGACGCGCGTCGTTGGCGCTGACTATTTATGAGCAAATTCTCGACATAATATTTCGATAACTCTTATATTATCATATTCCTGATTTTTAAAGTTAAATATATTAAAACTATATTTACCTTTTAGTAGATTTACCTTGGTGATTTGCTGAGTGAGTCACTCGTGATAGATCTTTTAAGGTAACACTATTTTTATTTCATCAATAAATAATAAATCACTTTATATCAGTATACAATCTCTAAACAAAAATCCGACTGTATGACTTTTATTTATTTCGTTAGGAATGGACTATTTCTTTGCCTCCCTTAAACTACAACCACTCTGATTGTATTTACTTTTAAATTAGTATATTGAAAATAACTGGTTGCTGACTTTACCATCTCAGTTTTTTATGATCATGAGATCTGCATAAAGGCCGCATAACGTTAGTTTGTTTGAGAAAACAATTCTCCGAAAAAACAGTTTAATTTCCAAATGAACATGCGCCTGGTTATTACATTATTTATTAACGATATTCGACAACAATGCTAGGTAACGACCACGTCATATCAATATCAAATCAGTGTGCGTTTGATTGACAGCGATTCGACGCCAATAAAAGTATTCAGGTCACTGTAATGTGCCTGTGTGGTCCAATAAAGCGTGAGGTCGAATTAATTTTGACGATCTGTTTTTATAATTGTAGGTTCACATTAGGAAGATTGTTTACGACGTTGAATGTGGAAATTTATCGTGATTTATACAAAAAGAGCAGTGGTAGGTTTATTATGGACTCGACTACAAAGACAATATATTACCACCTGCATAAGTGGGGGGACTTTCAAAGTAATTCACGATCTATGCGCACAATCAAGTCTGCTTGCACGTCTGCATCAATGTAGTAGTTCCACATATTTTTTTATCTTTGTCATTGCTAACTTGATTTTCAATTTAAATATGTTTTAAAGTATTTTTTTGTAATATAAAGTGACGGAACGAACAAGTCGTGCAGCTGATGGTAAGCTACACGCCTGTCCTTAACAGTTCCAGTACCACTCAGAGCTTTAAATCGCAAAGATCTGAGGGGTACTGCCACTGCGCCCGTCACCCCTTTTTTTTGCGTAGGGAAATCCTCCGAGGATACCTCTCTGCCGCGGGGGCAGCGGGAGGTTATGCTTGTTATTATTATGGAGGTTATAGACTTCTACCGGCTAAAACCCCACGGTGGCCTTCTCGGGTGCTTTAGTGGGAAGGATCCGGGATCGACTTTGCGCACCGGAACCCCCCCAGCAACTAGGAGGAGCTACGTCCTCCCCCTCCTCTCCTCACGACGAAGAGGGCCACATCGCCCCGTCGTCCTCCTCGCGGCTGCCTAACTTACTGGCGAACGAAGCCCCCGCTCCGATAGCCCGCAGCCGCGAAGGTACGCCGCCGCCGAGCGGGATCGGCCCTCTCCGGATCACGCTCGGCGATCTCCTTCTGAAGCATCACCGGTTCACAGAAGGAGACCACTGCCTCATGGGACTCTTGATCCGCCAACACAGCCGCTACTATGCCTGGCGGAGAGAGATCTCGCCCGATCCGGGCAACCAGGATGTTCCGCTCGGAGGCCCATGCGGGGCACTCCTCCAGCGTGTGCTGGGCGGAATCCTGATCCCTCCCACAGTGGTGGCACTGCGTCGTCGACTCGCGTCCGATCCGATTCAGATACTCACCGAAGCATCCGTGCCTGGTGAGTATCTGTGTCAGTTGGAACGTGGTGACGCGCTTCCGCTGGCTCAACCAGACTTCGAGGTTGGCGCCCGTCACCCTGAGACAAGTTGACAAGTCCCATGTGCCTGTAATTTCACCAGTATCCTTACCCTTCAAAACCGGACACATTAATGCTGACATTATTGCTTGGCGGCTTCCCTGGACGAACTCTTTCACAAGGTGCTCTACTGCTACTAGAATTACTACTATTTATAATTAGCTTCTCTTGTTTTTAATAATTACTTTGCTCGATTGTATTTATATATTGCGTTGTTCAGAATAACGTTCTAATTTTAAGTAAAAAAAAAATTCACTAGTTAAGCTCCGCCGCGCTCGCCTCCGCCCCCATTGCTGTGCCGGGGCCATGGGTCCTTCTGTACCCCTCACACTACGCCACTGTTCTTTAATCTTCGTAACGTCAACCTATTTGTACGTCTTACTGCTGGTCTCTTCTAAGAAGAAGAAGCCCGGCCCTAGTCCGCCACAGGTGTTATAAAGGTTGTGAACCTTTTTTGACGTATAGGTTCTATCACGATGTTTTCATATGATAGTATAAGATAAGTATTGTTCTTCCATCCTACACGTCTCTCGTAGCGTAGGGTTGTCACATTATTATCTTAATTTGTACCTACGGGTTGTAAACATAATTTAAAAATAATTAAGGTATTCAGTAGTATTCTCGTACTACGTTGAAATAACCTTTGTCAAATGCAGTTCTTATATACTGATTATTTGATGTGTCTAGATAAATAAATCACCAAAAAATCGTCGATCTAATGGGGAAGCAACTGCTCTCCTACTAAGCTACCATTGCTGTTCTATAACTTACTAATTCCATCAATAAAAGGCAGAGAACAAACTCTTGACGAAATCTAAAATTATCCAAGCACCAAGAAACCTTATCATGATTACTCAAGTATCAGTTTCGAAGTAAATCCAATGAAAGTCGAAGTGGAAAAGTTAATTACAGCGGAGAGGAACGCGGAGGGGTGGGGAGGGAAGGAGAGAAACGAAGCGGAGTTAACCTCCGATCATTATTATTGACAATTAAGCTTTATTCGATTTAGATAGAATCTTGTCGGCGAGTTCTACGATACTCATTGAGAAGAAAAAAATCAAGTAATAAGCGTTTTTATGATAACAAATACCGGGACGAACGTAGACGACACGCCTGTCCGTAGCAGTTTCAATGCCACTAAGAGCTTTTAAATAGCAAATCTGAGGATACTGCCACTGCGTCTGTCACACAGAGACATTAGTTAAGAAGTCCCATTTGCCTGTAATTATATTTAGTGCATTTTAACTGTTAACGTACATTACATTATGCATTTTATCTGTTAACGTACATTACGGTAGGCATTTCCCGCTTTTCCCATTGAGAGTTTTCTGGGTCTTTGAGTGTTGACAATATTAATGTAAAGTCTGAAAAGGTCGATATCTGCTTACATATCCCAATCCAATTTACTAATCTTGTTTTATATTTTCTCCGATTCAACCTTTTTTTAGAGTGCATAAAAAGACTGATGCCAGTAGAGAAAGCTAAATAAGTAACGTAATCAAGAACGTAGCAAGTGATAGGTAACCTCTGCCTATCCAAATTGAGAAAAAGGCCTGGTAGTGTGTTAAACAAAATGGCGGAGCTGGTAAATACATCTATAATTGTAAAAAAGGAAACTCTCGCCTAGTACTTATAACTTGGACCAAGACAAGAAAGTTAAAAGTTAACTAATTCCGTTACTAATTTTCAATAATTTAAACTGACAGTCTTGATTTCAATTTAATATAATTAATAAGAAGTCATTTTCTCAGACATGCTTTCAAATATTAGCATTATTGACAAAAAGGAACACTCGAGAGTTTCTTGTTTTTGGATCATGCAATTGTTTACCGGCTTGGCCAGAAAAGTATTAAAAATCCATTTCTGTACTCTAAACTTTCAAATCTGAAAAAAAGTGTCAGAATAAAAAAAAAATCACAAGCCATACTTTAATTACGGTATTCGTATGTACTTGCACTACTTACTTTTTTTTTAAAAAAAGAATGCTGTTAAATGTACTAAAATGCTTTGGTGTTTAATATTTTGTTGTTTCCTATGTACTCACGTTTAATACAAGGTCTCACTGGCGTCGTCCTTGTAACTTATGATTCGTCTGGCAATCCCTGATTTCCCGGCCTCTGTAATAACACTAGTAGTGCTTTTATATTTGCCATAATGAAGGCAGTAAATTCTTAATTTACTTATTCCTATTGCACAACTTACACTAACTGTAACAACAACGAAACATGTAGGCATAGTCAACAAGCGTTGAGTTGGTGACCGCCTGAAAGAAACTTACGGAATTTCGATAATCTGCAATTTTTATATAATACCAAATGATGGGGCGAACAAGCCGTGTGCATTGTGGTAAGCGACATGTCTATCCATAACAGTTTAAGGGTCGTATTCTAGAACTCTACTCAATGCTGAAGTCAGGATTGCACTGGAAATACGACCCTAATGGCAGGGACTTGAGTATGATTTCGAGTGCTTT